GCTGATGCCTGAGCCCGGTGGAGGATCGCCTCCTTTTTCTGCAGCCCCCTCGCTCCACTCCAGTGCACCCTGCAAGTCCACCCGGCACCAGTGACCCTGCTGTAGGCGACCGTCTCTCTCCTCGCTTGAGAACCTCTGGGATTTATCCTCACTTCCCCGGGGCGTTGGGGTACGAAGCAGCAAAAAGTAAAGTGGTCTTGTTGGTGCTTACTTTGAAAATCAACCAAAAAAGGCAGCAGTATTATTCACAGTAAAAAGGCAGGTCGCGCCGTGGATAGTGGGAATGGGGTCCCAGAGCCACTGTGGGATGGGGTTGGAGAGATTCCCGGAACTGTGGAGGGGTGGTCAGGGGTTCGACCTTTATCCGTGTCGGGGCCAAGGCTCGGGGTCAGGGGCGCAGTTGCTGAGCCCAAGCCAAGTTGGGCCCAGGCCCAGGAGGCTGCAGCCTTATGTCCTCCCGTTTGCCCGGCCTCCGGACTAGCCTCACCTCCTGCACTTTCAGCTCCTCGAGAGTGGGAAGCTCCACTATCCCCGGCATGACGGCTGTTGCCCGGACTCTGACGAGGGGCCCTCAGTCGCCCCGGCCCGGTCTCCTTGAACTCCCCTACAAGCGCCAGAGGGCCACACAGGGGCTGCGCATGCGCGGCCTGCGGCACGCAGGCGCACTGCTCCACCCACCGCCAGCGACCGAGCGTGCGCAATACCCGGAAATTCGGCGGCCTCTGGAAGGCGGGGCTTCGAATAGGCTCCGCCCATCTCTTCTGGTTGTCATAGTGACGCAAGTACACCAAAACTCCGGTTCCCAACTGTGGAAAGTTAGAAGCAGGAGCCATGCAGTACACGGGGAGCAAATATATCGGTGAATTTGTAGAAGGGAGGTAAGGGCCACATTTACTCATTAAGTGTCTCGAACATAAGTAACTGGGAAAAGATAGCTTTTTTTTTTTCCTCTGCGAAGGACTTGTGCCTGCAACTTTTAAGAACTTTGTCCCTTTTGACTTTTAAGACAACCCTTTAAAGCGGGATTATTTATTGTTTTATTATTTGGGGAAAACGAGGCTCAGAGAAGTGAGGTACTCGCTCAAAGACAACGATGTAATAAGTGCTGAGCTGAGGTTCATTCATCCCACATGTATGTGTGTTTGGTATCGGTCTGTTGGAGGTTATAGTCTAGTTACGTGTATTGCCAACAAACAAATGAGAATGTAACATCCACTAGTAAATGCCATGAAGACCAATGACACATGGCGTTGGAGGAGGGGGTTGTGGCTAATTTTAACCCAGTATGCATGGTACCTTCCCTCAAGGAGTTCACAATCTAGTTATTATTTAAAAAGTCATTGCAATAGACTAATAATAAAAGCTGTAGGGCTCAACAGATGTTGAGAACCTACCAAATACCAGGCACTGGGCTTGACCCTTGGGCCACAGAAGTGTGCACAGCCCTGACTGGCCCTTAATGTTGTGGTTGTTAGGTGCTTTTGAGTTAGTTTTGACCTACAGCAACCTCATACACAACAGGATCCTCCCGGGTCCCGTGCCATCCTCACAATTGTTCCCATGCCTGAGCCCATTGTTGCAGCCAGTGTCTTATCCATCTCATTGAGAACCTTTCTCTTTTTTTGCTGCCCCTCTACTTTACCAAGCATGATGCCACTCTCCAGACACGGTTCTCTCCTGATAACATGTCCAGAGTGTGTAAGATGAAGTCTCGCCACCCTTGCCTCTAAGGAGCACTTTGGCCGTACTTCTTCCAAGACAACTGGGTTTGTCCTTTGAGCAATCCATGGTACTGCCAACATCACAACTCAAATGCACCTATTCATTTTTAAGTCTTCCTTATTCATTGTCCAAAGGTCACATGCATAAGAGGCAGATGAAAATACCATGGCTTGGGTCAGGCACACCTTAGTCCTCAAAGAAACATCCTTGCTTTTCAATACTCCAAAGAGGTCTTGTGCAGCAGGTTTACCTAATGCAACTCATCTTTTGATCTGCTGCTTCCATGAGCATGGATTGTCGATCTAAGCAGGACGAAATCCTTGACAGCTTCAAGCTTTGCTCCATTTATCATGATGTCACCTAATGGTTCAGTTGTGAGGATTTGGGTCTTCTTTGCATTAACTGTAATCCAAATTAAAGGCCCTCAATAAATTTATATACATCTATGGGCAAAAGTAAGCATAAAATGTTTTTGTTGATGCTGGGTGTGATCGAGTCAGTGACAACTCATGATGACCCTGTGTACAACAGAATGAAACACTGCCCAATCCTGGACCACCCTCACCATCGTGGAGCCCATAGTGTCAGCCTTTATCAATCCATTGCATTGAGGGGCTTCCTTTTTTTTTTTTTTGCTGATCTTCTGCTTTACCAAGTATGTGTTATAGATTCCAGCCTCTAAGCATATAGTTATAATCCCATTTGGGAATATGTTGTCTTCCTTATTTGAATGAGGAAGAATTAGTTCATCTTGAGTGTTCTCGCTTAAACTATAAAAGAGAGTAAACAAGAGGGAGAGGCAGATGTAGGGGAAATGATGCCAGACTGCATGAAGATCGCCAAGGAGCTAAAGGTCAGAGATGAGAACCTTCCTTCAGAATGAACAGGGAAAGAAAGCCACTAGAGCAGGGGTCCTCAAACTATGGCCTGCCAGCCACATGTGGCCCACTGAGGGCATTTATCTGGCCCGCCGGGTGTTTTTGCCCCAAGTTTTAACCCAATTTAATTTAAACCCAAGTTTTCCTGACTCCAACACCAGGGGTTTCAACTGTGGAGCCCTGCTCCTGGATGCCCACAGAGAGCCCGGCCAGTTTAGCCAGTGCTCAAAGGTTCTTAGAAGAGATAGCTGTTTGAAATGGGCCCTGGGGTTAGGTAATATAGAAAGACCTCTTTAAAATTGTTTTTAAAAAATATGTGTGGGGTAGAAAGGGGAAACTGATAACACGGATCTATATATAACCTCCTCCCTGGGGGATGGACAATAGAAAAGTGCGTAAAGGGAGACGTCGGACAGTGTAAGATATGACAAAATAATAATAATTTATAAATTATCAAGGGCTCATGAGGGAAGGGGCAGTGGGGAGGGAGGAGAAAAATGAGGAGCTGATACCAAGGGCTCAAGTAGAAAGCAAATGTTTTAAGAATGATGATGGCAACATATGTACAAATGTGCTTGATACAGTGGATGTTGTATTGATTGTGATAAGAGTTGTATGAGCCCCCAGTAAAATGATTAAAAAAATAAAAGATGTCACCTTCCCCTTACAAGGAAGAGATGAGCCAGTCAGCGTGCAGTATAGCACCAATGAAACACACAACTTTCCTCTAGTTCTTTAATGCTTACCCACCACCACCACCACCACTATCACTGTCATGACCCAATTCTACCTTACAAATCCAGCTAGACCAGAGCATGTGCACTGGTACAGATAAGAGCTCAAAACATAGGGAATCCAGGAAAGATAAACCCCTCAGGACCAATAATGAGAGTAGTGATATCAGGAGGGGAAGGGAAGGGAAGGTGGGAGGAGAAAGCGGAACCGATCACAATAATTGACATATAACCCCCTCCTGGGGGGATGGACAACAGAAAAGTGGGTGAGGGGAGACAGTGGTCAGTGTAAAACATGAAAAAATAATAATTTATAAATTATCAAGGGTCCCTGAGGGAGGGGGGTTGGAATGAGCTGATACCAAGGGCTCAAGTAGAAAAAAAATGTTTTGAAAATGATGATGGCAACATATGTACAGATATATTTGACACAATGGATGGATGGATGGATTGTGATAAAAGTTGAAAGAGCCCCCAATAAAATGATTAAAAGAAAAAAGATGTCACCTTGACACAGGTGCACCTAGCCTAAGCCAGGGTATTTCCAGTCACCTCGTGTATGCAACAGCCAGACAATGAGTAAGAATGGATCACTTTGAATGATGGTGTCGGCAAAGAATATTACACTTTCCAGGAGGATGTTTAATTAAACATTGTCGTAGAAGAAGTACAGCCAGATGCTGCTCTAGATACGTTACCAGGAGGGACCGGACCGGGGAGAGAGGCGTGGTGCTCAGAGAAGTGAGGGGTCCATGAAAAAGGAGGAAGACCTCCAGGAGATGGATTGACACAGGTGTGGCTGCAATACTGTGTGCAGTCATAGCAACGGTGGCAAGGAGGGTGCAAGACCAGGTTGGGTTTGTCTGCTGGACGAAGGGTCACTCTGAGTTAGAACCAGCTCAGCAGTACCTAACACAGTGGTTCTTAACCTTCCTGATGCTGTCACCCTCTCATATAGTACCTCATGTGGTGACCCCCAACCATTACATTATTTTCGTTGCTACTTCATCACTGTCATTTTGCTACTGTTATGAATCAGGTGACGCCTGTGAATGGGGTCATTTGACCTCAAAGGAGTTGAGACCAACAGGTCGAGAACCGATGACCTAACGGCACCTAAGAGAGGTAGCGATGCAAGGTAAAGCAGGAGGCAGCAGGGTGGAGAGAAGAGCATGGCGAGGGCCCAGCAGGCTGCTATGTGAAAAAGCAGGCAGTCCCATGTAGCTGGTGTATCAGGTGTGCCCAGAGGGGCAGGAACTGTGGGGGCACTGTGGTACAGAGAGATGTGAACACCATCCACAAGTCTGCGTGAGTGAGGGGAGAGCCACGGATCGATCCTTGTGAGGACAGGGAGTAGGCGGTGTAGCTGTTTCATCTCTGTGTTCATCCTCAGAGTACACGTGTGTGGTGGGCATTCTGTAAAGGTTGACCAACTGAATTAATCAGAGAATGAATAAATAAGCAAATGACGGATAAGACTGATTGCTTTGAGCTTAGATGTGGTAGTCCTATCCTCATGCACTGAAGTATTTGTTCTTTTCTAATTTGTTTTAAATCTAGAATAAAGGCCTTTTGCCTCAAATTATTAAAAGAAAAATGAGAGAGCAGGAAGGAAAGGAGGAGAGAGGAGGGAATGGAAGAGAGGCAGAGCAGCGAGGGGCCATCCAATCACAGCCCATTGCAGTTGTCCTGATAAAGGGCGGCAAGATCCGGGCCAGCGCTGAAACTGGGGACTGCAGGACAGCCAATCAAGTAAGCGCAGATTGGGGCTCTGAGGGTCAGAACTTGGCAACTGATTGGCTCTTGGTCCCCTCCTGAGAATGCTCTAGTTCCAGAACACAGCCCCAGCCCCCGCTGAAGCAGTTGACTTTGAACCTGGATGACTGTGATTTCATTCTGGAAAACAGAGAACTCTTAGGTGGGGGCTACTTTGGGTAAGGGGAGAAGCGCAGTTCTGTTTTCAGTGAGCTTGAGGTGTCTGTGAGCAGTCTAACCAGAGATGTCTGGTTTGCAGTAAGAAAGGGGATAGAATTTGATCTCGGGAGTTTGGAACTTTAACAGGACCACTGTGCTTAGAACAGATAGCTGTGGTCTCAGGCCAGGAGGTAGAGGTCGCCTTTCTCTGCCCATCGCTGGCTTGAGTAGAGGCAGTGGTCACCGGGTTTGGAGCTCATGCTCTACGCAGGGCACTCCCCTTTCAGTCTCCTTTGAGTCTCTCCACAACTTAGGACATGGGTACTACTGTAGTGGCCATTTTACAAATGAGAGGTTCGGGCTCAGAGAGGTAAAGCACTTGCCCAGGGTCACATGGGCACAGAGATGTGGAGCCAGGCCTGGACCCCAGGGGGTCCTGGTTCCCAAGAGTATCTGAACCACCTCATACTGTCCTTCTTGGGGCCTGTGACTTGACTGCCCCTTCTGTCATCCTCTCGGTCGGTCTCCTGGCCTTTCCCTTCCTGCACTTCATCCTCAGTGGATGTGTATGGAGCACCTGCTAAGAGGGAAATGTGCTTCCAGACGCCGAGGATGCTGAGCCCAGCCTCTCAAGAAGCTTACAATCCATTAGAAGAAGGAGGTAGACAAGTACAACGTAATGCATACAGGGCCAGCATCACCAGCTGTGGTACAAGCATAAGGCTAAAAAGCTCACAATTAGGTGGCTTCTAGCTAGTGAAGAAGGATAAAAGAATGACCATTCCTATTTCTTTCTTTCTTCTTTTTTAAAATCATTTCATTGGGGGCTCTTATCACCACCCATCCATCCATCCATTGCATCAAGCACATCTGTACATATGTTGCCATCATCATTTTCAAAACACTTTCTTTCTACTTGTGCCTGTGGTATCAGCTCCCTCCCCCACCCTCATGGACCCCTGATAAATTTCAAATTATTATTTTCATATCTTATACCACCCACTGCCTCCCTTCACCCACGTTACTTTTGTTCATCCCCCTGGGGAGGAGGCAGGGGGGCTTATATGTTGATCATTGTAATCGGTTCCCCATTTCTCCCCCTTCTCCCCCCACCCTCCCCCTACCCTCGTGGTATCACTGCTCCCATTACTGTTCCTGAGGAGTTTATCTGTCCTGGATTCCCTGTGCTCCTGATGAAGGGCTTGCCTACAAGTAGTATGTACTTAAGAAATATATTTTTTCCCTCCAGGCTGAGAATCAAAGGTTGGAGAAAAAAATATCATGTTTCTTAAGCACATACTACTTGTGGGCAGACCCTTCACCAGGAGGACGGCTTTACACTGCCTGCCTTGATCGTGGGCATCCAGCTCAGTTGTTTCACACATGAAAGACCTGGCCAGCTGGGTGTCCCGGCTCATGCTCCTCCACTGGTTCTAGTGTTCTTTTCAGAGTGGATGTACAATGTAGCTGCTTAATTATGTCCCCCACTCGGCTATGTCTCTCTCAGGGACAGGGACTACATCTTTGCTGACCTCTGCTGTGTTGTCCAGCAGACCTCTCAGTGCAGCTTCTGGCACATAATAGGTGCTCGGTAGATAGTTGTTGGAAGGGAGAGAGGGAGGATGGTTGGTCTGGGGACATCTCCAAGATGATGAACCTAAAATAAATGGTGAAATGAGACCCAAACCCACATCTCCTGTGGTAGTTACACAATCTGGTATCAACTTGAGACCATGAAGAGTGAAGGGATGGAGTTTAACCTGTCAATCAGGTCACAGCTTGATGGCCTCAATTGGAGGCACGAAGCAGATAAATGCTCCCGGGAGGTGGGACACGCACTCACTCCCTGCGAGACATTCCTTTTGACAAGCCACATGGAGCTACACTGATGGCAGCCAGAGCCTTGGAGCTGGAGGAGCCACGTGGAGCCCCACGCCAGCACTGAGATACTTCCACCGCCACTGGATCCATAAGACTTTCCACCCACCAACCTGTGATCTTCTTGCATTCGGCATCATTGCATGTGTTGTGTGAATCTGAAGAGGAATTTACAGACTTGAATCAGACATATGGGCTAATATCGGACTTATGGACTTGATCTGGACTGGGATGGGATGTTTTCTTAATATATCCAATTGCTCTTTGATATAAAGCTCTCTCTTATCTACATAGGAGTCTCCCTGGATTAGTTTCTCTAGTCTAGCCAGACGAACACATCTCCCTTCTATACATTTCATATTTTTCCAAGAATCTCACTTGTGATGTAAATGGCAAAGGGTGGACTGCTCATGGGGGACAAGGACAACACAGGAAACTGGGACCCTCGTCTCTGCTTCACAATGCTTACTGTGTGGCCTTGGGCACATCCCCTCCCTCTCTGGGCCTACAAGGGAGATATTGAATGACTATACTGCTTCGCTCACCACCATGGGGCCCCAGGGCTGCTGGGGGAGGCACACACCCCTGTACAGCTTTTGTGTGAAGAGGAGGACAGAGAGATCAAACTCTGCTTCCCGATCCTGCAGTAAAGCAGCCCCTCATGGGTTGGATTTTCCAGGGAAAGAAAACATTTTGGTTTGGGCAGAATCTTGCTGGGATCATCTTGCTATGGCATCTTGAGGACCCTGGGGATAAGGTTCCCGCTCATTCACCTCCCATTTTTGGTCTTCCAGGTACTGCCACCCCCCTCCCCCCGGCCCCAGGGCTCAGTGATGTCCATTTTCCTTACAGGATGGAGGGTGAAGCTGAATACATCCTCCCTACTGAGACGAAATACGTTGGGGAAATGAAGGACGGCATGTTTCATGGCAAAGGAACCCTGTACTTCCCCAGCGGTAGCCAATTCGACGCCATCTGGGAAAAGGGACTGGCCACAGAGGTGACCTGCAGGGGATGGCAGAGGGGAAATCCTGAGGAGGAAGCACCCCCCAGCTGCACCCATACCCAGCCCTCCCTGTGCAGTGCCCACCTCTTCCCAGACCCTCTTCTCCCAGGGTTCTGCAGTCCTCTGCCCCTGAACCCGGAAGGGCCCCGGGAGAGGGCCCGAGGAGTCTGAATCCTGCCTATGCCTCTTACTGTGTGACTTTGGGCCAATGATGCCGGTACCTTTCTGAGACTCGGTTTCCACATGCATAAATGGAGCGCTGTAGTTCTTTGCATTCCTGGGGTGGTATGCAGGCGAAGAGGTGAAGCCTCAATTCCGTGAGCTCACACACAGTCGGCATGCTATGCATGTTATCTCTTAGCACCGCCCACCACCTCCAGTGCTCTCATCACCCAGCTCCAAGCCTCTTGAACCGTGGGTCTGTGAGCCAGGAGCAGAGGCCTGGGCCCGGCTCCTGTTTTTATACAAAGGGTCCTGCGGATACACTATGCTGTTTTCCTTTGGGAAGGAGCTGTGGCTTTTGTCAGTCTCACTAAGCGTGGGGAAAGGGACTGCTTCATGACCTTAAAAGGGCCCTAACAGCCCTTCTTGTTTCACAGCTCAAAGCGCTGAAGCTCTAGGAAGGGGATGTGACTTACCCAAGGTCACACAGTGAAGGAATAATATCACTGGAATTTCCACCCCTGTTTCCTGACCCCCAGGCCAACTCCATTCCTACATCCTGAGGCTTCCTTTAGCACTCTGACGGCAAAGGCCGCGTGTGCTGCGTTTGGCACAGGGCCATGGCTGATGCCTCAGACCGTTTATCTAGGAGAATAACAAAAGAACAACAACTCAACATTTATTGTGTGCTGACTGTGCGGCATGCACTCTGTCCCCGAATTCTCAAACAGCCCTATGATGTACTTATGGGGGCTTCAAAAAAAACCCAACAAAAACATGGAGAAAATGGCACTAAAAGAACGGAGTTGTTTTCTCCCATGCACTTTTTGAAGCCACCCCTCAGATACCATTATCATCTTTATCCAAGTGATGGAAACAAGACCCAAAGAGGGTAAGTCCCCTCCCCAAGGTGACACAGTAAGTTGCATTATTTTGTGTGTGAGACACGTTCCTTCAACTCCTCCGAGCCATAATAACGAGAGTTACCGCTTCTGCAGCCCTGAGAAAGCCACCTCTTCCCCCGACATCCCAAGACATCCTTCCTTCTGGACAACACGTGTGTGTGTGCACGCATATCTTGCAGGGCACCTACACCTTCGCAGACGGGCTGCAGTACAAACCTGAGAAGTGGCACTACTGCGACAGCTACGATCGGAGGTTCTACACGGAGATTTGCCATGGCTTGAAGCCTGCAGGTACCTAGGCCTTCCCCCTTCCCTCCACAGGAACACTGAGAGGGAAATTAAAGACAGTTTTAAGTTGGTGGGCCTCAGCCTGTTGAAGTAACCCCAGGAAGAGGAGGAGGGAGGCCAGTGGGTGTAGCAGGACACAAAGAGCCAGGCGCTGGAACCAGAAAATCCAGGGTCAGATCTCAGCACCTCCCTGCAAGCCAGGGAGCCAGGGGCAAGGGCTGTCACCTGTTTGTGCCTCCGTTTCCTCCACTACCCAATGGGGAAACCGTTCCCACCCCCTCACGAGGTTGCTTGAAATGGGCTGCTATCTGAAGGATTTAGAGTGGTTTCTTACATGGCTGTTACTATTTGTCCTGCCACCTGTACCCCTGAAATTATATTACAAAGGGGGAGGACAGCCTGTATATCAGAGGCTGGGCGAGTGTCTCTGTAAACCCCCCTCCTCCAATTGGCAGGTGACCATGCCAAGCAGACCATCTGGGTCCCATGCCACAGGGGAGAAATCTGAGACCTCAGAGGCCGGAAGTGTTTCCCCTAAGTGGGTCTGAGCCTTTCCCTCTGCACCTTCCAGTCTCTCACCCCCTTGACAAATCCATGTTCTCTCTTGAAGGGTTACAGCTGGGCCTGGTATCTGGGTGCGGAGTGGCTGAAGGGACTTTACATGAGGACTGTGGTGATGGTGGTGGCTGGGTGCCATCGACTTAGTTCCAACCCATAGTGACCTATGCACAGTAGGGCAAAGCACTGCCTGGTCAATATTTCCTATGCTTGAGCTCACTGTTGCAGCTATGCTGTCAATTCAGCTCCTTGAGGGGTGTCCTCTTTGTGCCCCCCCCCCCGCTTTATTGATCATAATGTCCTTCTCAGATGCTCTACTCTCCTGACAACATAGCTACAGTATGTAAGATGAAGTCTCGCCATCTTTGCCTCTAAGGAGCACTTTAGCTGCACTTCTGAGACAGATCAATTTGTCCTTTTAGCAGTCCATGGTACTTTTAATATTCCTCTCCAGCACCACAAATCAAGTGCATCGATCCTTCTTTGGTCTTCTTTATTCAATGTCCAAAGTTCACATGCAGGTGAGGCACCTGAAAATACCATGGCTTGGGTCAGGCCCACCTTAGTCCTCAAAGAAACATCCTTGCTTTTCCATATTCTAAAGAGGTCTTGTGCAGCAGATTTACCTAATGCAACTCATCTTTTTGATACCTTAACTGCTGCTTCCATAAGCATTGATTATGGATCCAAGCAAGATGAAATCCTTGACAACTTCAATCTTTTGTACACGTAGCATGATACTACCTATTAGTCCAATGGTGAAGATTCTGTTCTCCTTTACCTTGAGTTGCAATCCAGACTGAAGGCTGCAGTCCTTGAATTTCATCAGCAAGTGCTTCAAGTCTTCCTTGCTCACAAGCAAGGTTGTGGCATCTGCATGTTTAACCCATGCAGTATCCCTTGTTCTTATGCACAGCTTCAAGACATATGAGGGGGCTTCCCAAAAACTCGTGGAAAACCAGAATGAAAAGATGATGGATTGCTTCCCCCCATGAGCTTTTGCAAGCCCCCTCCTGTTTCTGAGACATGTGCAGTGTTGGTTGAACCCCAAGAAAAGCACAGTTCTTGGCGCAGCAGGGACAATATAGCCAAAATCAGGAAGATGACTTGATTTTTTTAAAAAAATCCTCCCCTGAGCTATGAGAGATGACTGACAGAGCTGCTAAGCCTGGGTTTGAGTCTAGCATTTCCTCTCAAGAGCTGGAGGAGCCCATGCCAGCCAAGCTCCAATAGGGCAGAAAGCTTCAATTCAAAAAGCACCCGGGCATGGGAGCAGGGCAGACCTGAGTTCAAGCCCAGCTCCTCCCCCACCTAGCTTGGTGACCAGGCAAGCATTCTTCTCTCCCTTGGCTCTCTTGATATTCCAATCTCCCCTTTCCCTCCCTTGCCAGTGCCTGTCCCCTACCCCATCCCGCCCCTGTGCCCCATCATTAATGTCGAGGATCTAAGGACTCTCTCTTAGGCTCTTTTCTATCACTCTACTTGCTCCCCATACAAGTTGATTCACTTCCAAACATTCAATTGCCATCAGCTTCCAGATCAAAAATCCTTGAGCCTCAGATGCCTGCATCCAGCTCCCAAACACCTGCGTTTGGTTGTCCCTCGAGGTATCTCCATTGAATTTCAACTACCTCATGATTGCTACCTCAGTAAATGTCCCTCTCCTCTACTTGAGCCTAATCCTCCCTTCTCCTTTCCACCCTGTGTAATCAACTGCCCGGTCCTATGGATTCTACCTCTTACATAAATTCATTCATTGGTTCTCGCCACAAACATTTATTGAGCTGTGTGCTGGGCAGTGTTCTCTTGATCCTGTGGTCCCTGCCTGACCTACTGATTCTAGCCCTCCCTTACCCTTTGTCCCCTGGGCCCAGATTACTTGACCCAGGATCCACACTCCATGACCTCCGGGTCTTCCTCCACCTGTTGCTGCCCATTCCCCTGCTGCCTGCCCACTCTCCTTTTCTCTCCTCTCTGACCATACTTGCTTCCTCTCTGTTCTTCTAAGAGACCAGGTTCGTTTAGGCTATTCCCTCTGCCCTCTCACTTCACCCAAGTAACTCCTTCCCGCTGCGAACCTTGCTAAGAGTCCGAATCACCTCAAGGGGAGGGAGCTGCTAATCTCAAGATCAAAGCCACCCTGCTCTCACTGTAAAGAGCAACAGCCTTGGAAACCCTAGGGAGTAGCTCTACCCTGTCCTATAGTGCTACTGGG